CCCCAAAACCCCAAAACCCCAAAACCCCATGTATTTGGCAGACATTACTATTAGATTGAAATCAAATATAAATTAACTAGAATTAGCTAAGGTTTATTATTATTAAAATATTGTGTTATAAAAGAGGTTTTAAATCAAATAATAGACTTAAATTAAAACATTTTACAAATAATATGCGTATCGATCCTAAAAATTATAGTTCGTAGACTTTTACTAAGATACTATATTTGGTAGTTTTATGTATACTCTAATGATAAACTAATTAATCCTGTAATCATTTTAATGATATATAAAATACACATATATAGATTCTGAGCATACAGTATCTAGTAATGCAGCTATAGGATTTAAAGATCTATCATAGGAAAATATTCAAAACGTAATCACTTTTTCATCCATTTTTATTTACAATTTTCTCCAAATTAACTCTTTTAATGTAGTTTAGTTTAAATCTTTGGGTCAAGGTTTATTCTTCATTTTCAACAAACTAAACACTAATGGGTCTCAATAATATCATTAAAATGACAGTGACAGGAAGTTCTCCCTTGAATATATATGCGCCAAATATTTTATAGACAGATTTAACAAATTAATCCCTTAAAATAACTGGCGCAAGAAGCATTTGGATGAGGTTAGGAGTGGTAGTATCAGATAATACAGTGCAGTTGTATTCTGGTTATGATTCCAGAGTTTAATTCGCATATACTAAAAACTAAAAATTGGCATTTGTAATACTTATTCATCTCATTTCTATCTATCTTAGATATTTTATTCTATTTAATTTAGAATCCATATCCAGAAGATAACTTTATTGGCCAGGCAAGAGAAGACAAGTATGAAATTTAATTAAAGGATTTCGCTTTTTGGAAGAACTATGTGCTAACCTAGACTCAGATGCAGTCTTTATATTTCAAGTAAGGTTTTTCACTTCATTACAACAATTCTACTTTTCCCTAAAACATTTATTTCCTATTATATTCTGATCAATTTTCTTAAACTTTGGTAATGCTAGATGGATGAATAACAACATCCAAGTAGACAAACTAACTCTCTACTACAGAATGTCATAGTATTCCTCAAATTATAGAATTTATGACTATGTAAACCCGTTTTTTTAGTCAAGACGATTTAATGGAAGTTATGGAGCTGACATTAATGTCTAAGACTAAATGCTAAGTTTATACCTAGATAATATGAGAAAAACATTTTATTAAGAATATACTGACTTGAATACTAGGAGCTATGCAGTTTATAACCTTGAAATTTCTGATACTATTATTTTGCCTACTATTCCTAAATAGAGAAAAAGGGTTGAAAGTTTTACTTTTGAAACTTGGTATCTTTTCAGGACATTACCTACACAGATGATCAGTTTAATAAGTAACTGTGATTAAATAAGTGAAACTGGATGTGAAAATTTCGCAATAAATTTATAGATAGGTTCTAGTATTTAAAGCACATACTTAGACTTATGTGGTTAAAGATTTTAAAGTCCTTATGAGCCTGGAATAGCTGTTAATACTTGGTACTATATTGCTGTCAGTTATGGAAATGGTAAAAAATACTTAATTAACATTAATAGGCAAGGCTTAATTTATCATTACAATTACAGCAATTAAATCCCCAGCTATCTATGAAGTATAAAACCCCTCCGATACTATAGACGGGTGTGAAATTTTTAGTCCTACATAGGATCTTTATGTTTTATTAAAAGATTAGATATAGGATTCTTCACTCAGAGTATACCTAAAAGAATTAAGAGTTTGGTAAAATTCTATTATATTTTTATAACATATTTTATAGGTCCTAGATGAGAACTCCTAATGATTTATTTTATGTTTATAAAACACCAATTGAAAGCTTTAACCCACCTTACCTAGTGAGCTATTGGAAATTTTACCTAGATCAAAGGTAGCTATCTTTATTATATGACTATGCAATAAACACTAGAGGATAGTACCCTGTAAAGAATACAAATACTTTTTGGCAGATTTCCACATAAGCTTCATTATGCGATAATGCTGCGTCCTTTATTCATTCATGTGTTTCTGAATAAGCAATGAAAGAAAACTTATTATAATTCAAGTATAAAGAATCAATGGGAATCGATTTTGCATATACAGGGGAGCTAAGTGTTGCTTATGAATTTTGGGCTTACATGGAATTCAATTTCACTTAATCTCTTCTTATTCTTGAATCTAACTCTTCAATAACTGGCTTGGCAGGAATTAATGGAACAATCAATAATCAATTCGTATTTTTTGAGGGAATAGATGAAAACAAAACTAATACCTCTGTAGATATAAAAACTCAGGGCGAATGGATTCACTTGACTCTCTACATACATGATCAAGATTTAGACGTAGATGGAAATCCTATCACTAAAACCGTAGTTTACGTAAATCGAGAATAAATTTATTCTTGGTAAAATTTTTATCAAGTCAAGGATTTGTAGTTGGTTTCAAATAAATCTTCTTATTGTGGATATTTAAAAGAACTTAGAACTTATTCATTCCCATCAGACGCCAGCTCATCTGTCCTATACTTGATATTCAAGAATTATAGGAGTGTTATATCATACCCATTGATATATCCATATCTAGAGATTTACATCACTTTCCAAGATCTATCAACCTATGAGTTCATATCAAATAATCAAAAAATTTATAACGATTTTATGACAAAAGACATATCAGGTAGAATAAGTAAAAACATATCGTATCAAATAAACTTTGAAAGATAAAATATGTCCTCTAACATTTACCAATCAAAGCTTATAATGTGCAGAAACGCTGGATATTGGGATGGATTATCCTGTTGATGTAAGTTATTGATAATACTGAATCTGGTTTATCATTATTTTTAGACGATGTTCTATCATTGAGTCCAACGATTGAATCAGAAAATTAGACCACTTAAATTGGTGAAATACTAGAAAGCTTTAACTCTTTATTTTTCTGGGTATAAAAAATCTTATTCAAAACATGATATAGTTCAAGCACAATATTCCATTAGAATTAAATCAAGCTGATTCCATTAAGTTTATGTAAAATCCTTTAGAAATAATCTTGAATTAGTTAAACATTTGATAATGTTAATTAAATAGATATAGAGTCTACAATAAATGACTTAAACATGTACACTATGAAAGCTAATATTTGCTCGAATGATCAGATGGTTATTTATGAAAATATTGAAATTGATTAAGATCTCTGGTATTTCCTTTAGATTTCAAGATATATTGATTCAAATGATATTCAGATTGTTTATGCGAATTTAGTAATATATCATCATTAATCTTATTCTTATTAGATTTCAAGCGACAGAAAAGATCTACAGACTTTCTATCCAAGTGCTAGCTCTTTTAAAAACTGTATTTTTGAGGATGGGGTAGCACAGCCAATGTAAGATTCATATATTAATGATTATTATAGTTTCTTTGTGCAAGATAAACCCTATCAGATATTTCTTAAAGATTTCGGGATCACAAAGGATCATTACTCTTTGAATTAAATAAAAAGCATAGCTTTGTAAATCATTTAATTATAAATTTCATAAATTTATAGTTCTCCTCATAGACTAAAAGATTACGCCTTAACATACCATAGAATTGACTTAGACTAGGATCATGGCCAATTTAAGGACGATTTTTCTCTGATTGATGTACTTCCGTTTCACAACTTGTCTTTGAAAGCAGCAGACACTAAAAACATAAGGGGTTATTATACATGGGAGTATGATCTCTATTTGCCAGTCGTCTGCAATAGTTCGTCTGACTTAATTGGGAGAGGAGATAACGTATCATGTGCTAAGAGCATTTATAGGTTGCATAGAATGTAGGAAAGTTGCATAACAGCCAAATTAACTTAATCACCTACAACTTAAGATACAGTATTAACAGATTTGAACTCAACTGATTAAATTCATTCTTCAGTAACAATTGGTTTCTGGGTCAAAATCAATTACAGATATCTTAATACCTATAATTGGACAGAGAATACTTATGTTAGGTTGGGAAATGGATCTGAGGGATCTATTTCAATAGGTGGATATACATATGGTAATATTTTGACATTTTAATTGAATTAATAGATCCTTAGGTAGTAAAATATTATGGGTAGAGAATAACAGGCATTTCTTATGATTCGGCATAGAATTCTTACTATTAGTACTATGATACAATGTATTTTGGAACTGATGACTACAACATATGCTTTAACTATTCATGCTATATTATGGTTCATTACTAATCTAATTCAAGTGAAGTTGGATCATCGTTTCATCGAGGTGGTACACTTAAAGGTAATATATATCCTAAATTCAATCACCACCTCACTATCAATGACAATATGTGCATTGGCTGTCTAAGGACTCCATCTGGCTTCTATAGATATGCTGATGGCTGGGAAGGAATGATAATGCATGTTCGAGTTTTCTTCAATTTAACCTATGAATAAGCATTTTAAAATATGATAGACGCAATGCGATATACGTATGAATTATAATTATTTAACGATTTAGGAGGAAGTTTGGCTTCAATAATCAAGCCATTTATCTTCCCTTGACCATAGCACAAATCATGAATACGCACAGGACAAAAGAGACATTAATGTTTAATTATGGCAGTAGTTTAGATATGCCCCCATAATATTCAGATATATTAGATATAGTCAACAACTTTTATGGATCAGATTCGTCAAAATCAGAAGAAATAAGTAAGAAAGCACCTCTATTTAAGCAATGATCAGTCAATAATATTATTTTAGTTGATTTTAGATAAAATTCTGATAGTATGAGACAGCTCTTGCCAGAAACTTGCCCCTTGAATGTCAAATTTAACAAAGATTTGGTCGAATATACAATTAAGTTTCAGATGAAAGTAATGATCTCTTTAGGCTATATAGATAATCCCTTTTTTACTCTCTTTAACGTCCTTACTTTTGGAGGGACAAATATTAATCAGATCTACATTTGGAATCCAAAGCTATAGATGTTTATACATAGAGACAGGATAAATATAAAATCAAATTAGTGGCAATTTTTCGCAATCACCTATTCTCAATCAATGGATAAAGGGTTTGTATACAGCAAAAATAATGTAATACTTTCACTAAATAACACATACTTATCTCCAATCACAGCTGGTACTTATACCATAAATGTTACTAATTGCTTTTTGGTTGGATTATAGATCTGGTCAAACTATCAGAATAAGAATTTAATTTATTCAAGTCTAATAAAGAATATTGATGCGCATCTGTATTACAAAAATCTTGCATTCTATTATCAGTCCTCAATCACATTCTCTTACATGGACTATATTAGGATACCATATACTGATTACACCAAACGCTAGGAAATAATGTCTTATTATAGTTATGGAATTGAATATAGTGTGGTAATCAGCAACTACACTCTTGCTCCAAACTTGCAGGCAGGATACCCTTATTAATGTAATGATGGTGGATATTATTCCAAGACGGGAGGTGGCTGTAGCTATAATTAGAACTTACTCATTGACAGTAAAGAAGGATATCATTCCCTTGACTTACGAACTTATGATAAGTTTACAAAAGCCCAAAGTTTTTAGGTAGACTTTTGGATAGGATTTGGGCCACTAAATGCTGGTTCAATCATAAATTTCTATGGATCTTAATTGAATCTGACTTTAAGAGAACCTGCTTTGGACTAAGGCTATTCATTTGACAATCTAATGACAGCTAATTTTACAAGGGCCATTCTAAATAATAAATATGCTGAAAATCGATGGTACTTCATATAAGTTGGATTTCAAAACATCTCTGCTACTTAATTTAACTTATCTATCCAGATTAATGTTGATAAAAGCTTTATCTATTTTAATACAATAGACCAGGTATTTGGTTAAGTAAGCTAGAATTTTACCACTATTTGTCCAGATGATTGCAACTAATTCACTCTGAAGCATTTTGTACTCTGGAACAGTATTGTGAAACTAGATAGTTATAAAGATGCTTTTGAACAAATTAATATTTTAACTAAATCTTAAGGAATTCTAGCGTATTATCCGTTGCAGGATAACTCAGGATTTTACTTAACTGAATATGTGTATCACTATTCTTTACCCCTATGGCAATATGATCATTATGAGGAAAAACAACTGGTTAGATGGTTTTACTCAGAATTTATAGGCTCTGGCTACTAAGAGGAGCATATACAATGCGGAATAAATGAATAATACGATGAATAATAAGCTGATTGTATCATTAAAAATGATGGAAATGAGAATATAGAGATATACCCTGACAAGTATGACTATATCACTTTAAACTTGACAAACTATTAATTCTCACCTGAATGGTCATTTGAATTTGAATTGCTGTTTAGCTCAACCGATGACATATTAATGAATTCAGGTCAAGAGATAAGTATAATGACTACAGATCCTAATTGTACAAACTCGGGAACAAAAATTAATTATTTGAAAATTTTTAAAGATTTCAAAAACATAACTTCAACTCAAACAAATAAAACCAAAGTTACAAAGCAGGCAGTCAAAGATATCCTTCAGATCCAATTTTAATAAGATTCAGGTAAGAAAACTAATCTATCTTAAGATATAAATCAGGATGATTGGAATCATATAGTTATAAGCAACTCAATCATAAACACTGATTTAAGAATGACCTCAGACTTTTCAGGCTTAAATTATTCATCCTATAATGCATCACTTTTTTCAAGTTTGCAAAAGCTAGCATCATGCAATTTATTAATTGGCTATGATCCTAATAGTTAAGAGTAAACTACTGACAAGAGTTTTATCATTAAAGAATTCAGAATATGGAATAAAGCTGTGAATGTAGATGAAAGTAGAAGAAATTACTTGATGGCTTTGCCTAAAAGAGTTCCTGACTTAGCAGCATATTTTAAATTTATTGGTCTTAACTCCTTTTACGAATAGATATAAGATGTAGCAAATCCCAATACAAATTTCAAAAGTTACACAAAATTTTACTCAGCTTCAAATAGAAATAACTGTCCTTTTGGAACTTAATTTGCAGTTTTAAACTACGCTAATCAATGTCTATAATATCCTGGATTAATGATTAATATCTCTGAAAGCTAATATATATAAATTCCAGTAAAGAAAGCTTTTACTACTATATTTTAAGACAATAGCTATGACTTTACTTTCCAATTCACACTTATGGCTCTGTATGAACCACTTCTATTTAATATTTTTGAAAAATTGCTTGAGCTTGAAAACGTGTTCTCACTGGAGTCTGAAACTATAAATACATTCAAAATTTTATTATACAGAGCGCCAGATTAGATAGAGCAATTATATTTTGATCATTACAATTAGTCAATAACATATATTGTTTCTTACAACCCTGCATAGTCTAAAATGATATTTTATAAGAAAAATACAACTGACCCAAAGCCAGTACCATTTAAGGAATTTTCTCTTGATTAGGATTTTAAACTGGATCCACCAGAGTATTTTTCTGTTGGAAAGGGCAACTATAATGATTAGAGAATATATTTTTCAGGCTTTCATATAACTGGTGAAGTTTATAATGATTTATAACTAACTTAAGAGGGAATGCAAAAAAACCTTCACTCATATAAATATCGGCATAACATGCTTGGAAATTATATTTTTTACGTAAGTCTAGACAGAAATTATGATTTTAATGTAATGTATGATACCTTGAAAGGGGAAATGATGCCTATTACCAATAACAGGCAAGGAACTGCATAACATCCATGGGTTTCATATATTGTCACTCAGAACTATTGTCCATTTGAGATGGATTGGGATGAATATCTAGAAACCTGCCTTAATAAAGGAGTGTTAAAATTGTAAAATTAGTCAGGTAGTGTCATTTTATTAGGTACTAACTTTTAGTGGTAGTTTAGTGTGGGATTTTGGATTAATTTCTAGTTATTATAACCCAATGTTAAAATGGATTTCTTCTAATTAGCCAATGTTTTAGAATTCTAAATTACAGTTCCTAAATTGATGAAAGTTAAAACATCTAAAGCAGGTTAGCTGATTGTTGAAACTGAGATATCAGCATAAAAATTTCTAATCACTGAGAATAATTGGTATGGATTTGCTGCAGTTCATAACTCTACAGGCTATTGGAAGATTTATCAATAAAAATCATTAATCGCTGAAATCACAGATAGTGCTGATAGCTACTATGGAAAAATTAGCAAGTTAAGATTTGGAGACATAAGTTTTACAAATAACATTATTAGAATAAAATAGATATTTGGTGTAGCAAGAGAACTTTTACCTGGTTAAATACAAGAATTTTTGAATAAACGAGTAAGCTAAGTAGATTACGCTAAATCATTACTGTTTTACTATCGATTGAATGAGAATTTTGGTACAAGCTTCAAAGACTACTCTTAATTTTAGAATCACATTACACTTGATGATAATATTAAATCAGGGTAGATTATCTGGGATTAGTCCTGGGAGAGACAAATAGGGAACGAAGAAATATGGACTGAGGACTTTAAAACATATCAATACATGGATAAAGGTTTATACTTTTCGACTTAAAAATCTTACCTACCTCTGAAAACGATCTCTCAAGATTAGTTTAAAAATCAATACTCATTTGAGTTCTGCATCTATCAAACAAATAAGTATAATAGGAGGTAGAACATCTTATCATTGGGAGGGGTTTTCTAAGTATTTTTAGGCATTAGCAATGAGATAAATTTTGAATATAATACCACAAATATTCCGAAAGGAATTAATCAGGATGTAAGTAAGTGGGACTGCTAAATATATTCTAGTTCCTACTTTGATATCTACAATAGTAGCTATTTTTGCTCTGAGTTCTAGTTACGTTTACAATGTAGTTATGGTGCTGGCAATAATTAAGCAACGTTACCTCTTTAAATGCTTTTATCTATTGGTGATTAGACTAATTCTTTTATTGGACATATAAGAAACATTAAGTTATTTTCAGTGTATAGATCAGTGGGTTCAGCTCGAGCATCGGTAAGATCTTATTCCACTTCAATAATGAATATGAAATACTTGATTGCTGATTACCCATTAACTGAATCTATTGGAGATTTTTTAAGAGAATAAGTATCTGGAGAAAAGCTAAATTTTTCACAATACAATGTACAATGGATAGCTCTGAAGTAAATGCCTAAAATCTGTAATGGAGATTCTAAGTATTCTTATAGATAAGGACAAGAATATTGTTATGGTAAGCTTTTATCAATTTATTAGCTTATATTTTTAGTCAAAGATAGAGTTCTAAAATTGAATGATTAGCTTTCATTTAAAATCCCAACAAGCCATTTGCAATGCTTTTCAGTTATCTTTTGGTTTTATTACACAGATCTAGAAACATTTACAATGACAATCAGTAATCGACTCATTTACTAGATCACTCCTGGCTATATTAAAGTATAGATATAAGGGAAAGGTGGTTATTATAGCTACGAGTAAAAATTCAACCTTTATAATCTAAATATTAACAAGTGGAATGTTTTGCTTTTGAGATTGTGTGATAGACTTCAGCTTTTGCATTTAGGAGTGTATTATTAAAAAGATGGTGTGAACAATAGTTAACCTTTATATGATGATGAAGGCAGTTAAGCAACTATTCCAATTAATTTTGCTTTTGACCCATTAGGATTAGAAGAATTTCAAGATTGGAACTTCACTAGTAATAGTGCTAAAAATAGGGTATTATTTGCTTTAGACTCGAAGAATTTTATAGTTATATCTAAGAGAAATTTAATTTTACAATGATATAGTATCAAAGTAATGGGTAATAAATAGTGGTTTTATGTAAGATTTATTAATATTTTTAAAACATATTAGACCTCGATTTTTAGAGCATCCCTTATTAAAGGTATATTATAAGCTACACGAAAGTACCGGGGCTTACATTTATAACTATGCTACCTACATATATCCGGCCAGTCCTTAAATATATCATGATTTGAATGGCTCTAATTTTGTGTGGGTAAATGATAATTCTATATTAACAAATAAAACAAATTTCTTGGCAAACATCTAATGCTAAGAGGACTTAGTTACATCAGTTGATGATCACTGTGAAACATTTGAGAAATGCCATGAGACTTGCTTGATTTCAACTGAATGCTTTGGACCATTGAGTAATTAATGTGTCTAAAAACCAAATTCAACTATTTTTGAATACAAGATAAACAGCAAAACATTATATTATTAGGAATGTCATACTAATTGTCTTTCTTGTAGCATTCCTTTTTTGAATTAAGACTGTGTCACTTGTGTCGATGGTTTTAGTTTTTACTTAGGCTCATGCATAATTCTTTGTCCGCAAGGCACTGAATAAAGAAAAAATCCAAACAAAAATAATAGGACTGAATGCATGGCATGCTAAAATGGGCTTTGCACTTGTCCAGCAGTTGATGTTACAATTTGTTAGGAATGCAAAGATTCCTCACATTTCTTTATAGAATCATAAACAGACCCAAAGCTAAATGCCTGCATTGAAGAATGCCCTAAAGAAAACTAATTTTACGATAAAGTTAGTAAATCATGTTAATCCTGCTACTATTTATGCAAGACTTGTTCTTCTGAATCATAATAAAGTTGCCTATCTTGTGAACAAGATCATGAATTGATAAATGGAAAATGTACAAAGATTGTATGCCCAGATGGTTAATACTATAATAGTACTACATTACAATGCTAAAATTGCAAGGATAGATGCAGAAAATGTTTGGCATCCAATTCAAGTCTATGCACTGAATGTCTTTCTAGTTTCTAGTAAGACAATTTTTCTTTAATAACTTTTAGTTTAGATAACAATGAGTGTAGAAAATGCACTCAAATATTAGATATGACGAATCCTTACAAAAATGGAAAATGTACAGAAATTTGTGGAAATGGAATTAGAGTTGGAGGGTTATTAAATTGTGATGATGGGAACAATTTGAATAATGATGGATGCAGCTCTATTTGCTCAATTGAATATGGCTATGAGTGTTTAGGTGGCAATTAGACTCATCCAGATATCTGTACCTATTCATTAAGACCTTATGCGTAAATTCAATCGGTCATAAATGGTAAATTTATCGCAACCTTCAACGACTCAGTTGTTTATGCTAATAATATGCTCACAAAACAGGATCTAAAATTTGAAATTACAGACACAAATGATAAATAGATACTTAAATCTTGGACTGTTATCAATTAAAATAAATAAGAAAATTAGTAGATATTGATATTTTTTAAGACTACAATTAAGCTTTAAGGTAATGAGGTAAGTATATAATTTTTATGCTATTCAACAGTTTCATTATATTTTTAGATCATATACTTGAAATTTTTAGAGGAAGGCCAACATATCTATTCAAAGAAAAATCCAAATGTAATTAGGCTTTTTTAATCACAATAGTTTCTCGTAAATGGCCAAGAGCTAATATACATAACTGATAAGGTATAAGAAGATGGAATAGCCAAAAAAAGCTAAGCGAATTTATAATCAGTTACAAATAGTACTTTGACTTCTTTGCCAAGTGCTCTATCCTCATTAGTGGGCACAAAATATATAATGTAATTAGAACTTATGATGTATTGATGGATTAGGTCTGGTGGAGTATCTTAAGTGCTAGGATTCATTAATAGTCTGCAAATTATTTATTATATGCCCTTGATTTAGGCGTACTATCCTGAAATGGTTAAAAATACTCTGACTTAGTTAGATTTCACTACAATGAGTTTTTTGGATTTTGATTCAGAAAAGTTACCTTTTAATGCAGGTTCATGGATTGACACTAGCTAGATAGTAGATAATCCTCCAGATTAAGTATTCATAGATTTTGGTATAACGAAAATAATTCTGTTGATAAAATACAAATCAAGGCTCTATCTCATGATTGCATGTTCATTATTTATACCAATCATTGCTTTAATCAACAAACTCTATAAGAAAAAAAACAGGTAAAGCATAGTAATTTTGTTTAAACTTATGTTTATAGACTGAAAAAAGTTCTCTACATAGTTGACTGTCATTTCAGATACAATCTAATCTTGGGTTTCTTTACGGAGCTAAACTTAGAAATGTCTATCCTAGCTTTTCTATAAATTAAAAATGTAACATTGAACTTACTATAAATTTATTGCTACTTATAGATACAAGTTCATAACTTCCAGCAAATCAGTGCTTCACTATTTAATTTCTTAGTTTTAGTAATTTAAATTAACTCTAAACTATAACATAGGCATTACTATTCAGCGCACCAATAGGAAGCATGCACATTATTTAAACTAACTTCAATAAATTGAAAGATAAAGTTTTTTTCGACAGAAATCACATACTTCTTGAAGGGTATGATTATAACTAAAAAAATGTAATGAGTCTAATGAGTCTCTCAATCTTCTTCCTGAGACGCTTGATTTACTCAGCTGTTCTGGTATATCTTTAAGGATTTGTGAATCTGCAATTCTAGATTAGCATTATTCTAAGTCTATTGCAACTCTTATGGCTTATAGTTATGACACCTTATGAATCGAAGCTAGATAACTTCATTAATATCTATAATGAATTTACGATCTTAATTTGCTTTTGCACATCTCTATTCTTTGTTGAGAAAAATCTTGATGATGATATTAAAACAGTTTGTTCTTGGATAATAGTTGGGGCATTGCTTTTGAACGTATTGATAAATATGGTACTTATGACAATAATAACAGTCATATCATTGATACAATACATTTCTAAATAGTTAAAGAAGTAGAGAGCTAAAAAGTAGAATACCAAAGAACTAGAAATAATAAAGAATCAAAAGCTAATTCAATAGGAAATATATTAAGAGTATTTAAATCATTTGACTTCAGATAGAAGTAATATTCATAATAGTACAATAGATAAGCTTATATCCATTAACTAGAGAAGTATCAGTAAAATTGAGACTTTTGAATTTACTACATTAAGATTTGATTCTGAGGCACCTTGGTTGTAGGCAAGTAAAAATCAAAAACTAAGGAAGAAATATGATACTAATCCTTCAATTCAACTTCCTCCCCCAGTCAAAAGAAGCCAAGACTCTTAGAATCATATGTTTTTAGAAAATTCAAACTCTTTCATAAAATCATCAACTCTAGAAATTCAAGATTTAAAATCAAATCCCTATCTGGACATTTATTAAATGGAAAATCTCAAGAGATTCAGACTTGATTCAAGTTAAAGCTAATCTTCATTTGGAAACTTAACTATGGAACAGCCATCTAGTGTTGATCCTTTAAAGTATAAGTTGAAGTCTCCATTTTAATACTTTGATGATCCCACATCAGTAAGTTTTAGCTAGATTTCAAGAACATTGCATGATAGTACGGTATCAGAAAATGAATAGAAGTTCCCAAAAATAGATACAGAATAATAGTTCTAAAATTTTAAAAACAGGTAATAATTAAGATAAAGTCTGAAAAGATAGAAATAATAGGAAAAATAGTTAAATGAGGAATTTGAAGATGTAATTGTTTTTAGAGGTAATTTGAAAAGTGATAACGATGCCTCTAAAACTAATTTCAAATAATCTTTTAGCTGGAGATTCAGAGGATTAATATGAATTCAATTAATAGTTATCAAAGATTCGAAATTTTATGAATTTTTAAACAATTTTTAACTTACCTAAAAGACATATAAATGGTAGAAGGGGTTTTGGGGTTTTGGGG